ACAGTGAGACAAAGTGGATAACTCAAGGCTTCCAGAATTTCAATAATGTAATCTCAAGGATTAGCCTAACTTAGAAAATAAATTATACAAATCGTTGCGCTAGATTAGAGAGAGAGATAACAAAAGGACCTTCTGAATCTTCCATGCAAAAAAATTGAAAACTACGCTTAATTCTACTTAGATTTTTAAACTATTATCCACAATTAACAAACCAGGCTAGGAAACCTACGCCAATTTCCAACCCTCTTATAAGCAGAGTTTGATCACTTTTGCGTCCATCTCCACAACTTAGCATCAACTTAAGCTCAAGGTAGGCGAATTGGAAGAAAGGAAGTTGATGCTTACGCTCGTTTTCCAAGGAGTTCACTGATAAGTTCCACAGCAGAGTAATGATCAATATCCTTTTCCAATTCGTTGAGACCTTGTGGGACATCGAATCCATTGTGCTGCAATGCAAAAGGAGTTAAAATGCAAAATTGGCCCTTTAATGAGGGAAAATTACCTAGAATCATAAAAGAGGAAAAATGGTTTGAGAATATAGATTATATACTCCGTGTGATATTAGTCCAAAATTTGGATTCCTCTGAAAGCTCATTAATAGACTATGTTCGTTGGTTAATGAAACGTATCATTACCAATTGAAGGTAAATTTGTAATAGAAAGCAATGGTTTTGTGTCAAATAAATTAATTTGGAGAGCAGTTTGCAAGACTTATTTCGAATAGATCAGTGGCGTCAAGGAACTTACTTGCCGAGAAACTCTATTCATGACCTTCTCCCTGTTACCCAAACCTACAAAAGGACACACAGACAGCCGCGCTATTGGCGCACAATATTCCGCAAGCACAATGAATAGGGGGCGCTTCAAGAAATCAATTTCTGAAAGTTGGGTTGCACGATAGACTAACCTCCACGTAGTGCAACCTGGGCAACGTATACTCATATGGCAAAAAAAGCCTAAAAACCGACAGTTGGCTTCAAACTACCATGACCCGACTGTATGTCATATCCGACCACTTCCACGGAACTCACCTTACCTTTTTCTTTATCTCTGTGTCTGTCCGGCTCTTTTACATCTATGAAACAATCTTCTGTTTCCCTCAACCTCTCGACTTTTTGTGACTTTGAAGCTCCTCCCCTCGGTGAAGCTCAAGGTCAACTAAAGGGCTAATGATAACTATCATAAAGCCAGCCAATTGATATAAATTTCTAAATGTTTTGCAAAAAGTAAAGAACAGGTGAATCTATCACGTGCAACATTCCACCCCAAACACTTGGTTTTAGTAAAAGGAAATTACACATTTAAGGAACTTGAGGGGGAAACTTGGAGCAATAAACGGGTGATAACTCAGAGCTCCGAAGGCAAATTTCCCTACTCTGTGCATCCATTTAAACAAAGGCGAAAAAAATTTATGTAAAATTTCACAATAAATACCGAGCATGAGCTGATCGTATGCAAATAGCTAGTAAAATATATTAATCAAAAGTGTAGAGGCATTCATTAATTAGGATAAATCATATTATGGCCACGAGTATTGATCCAAAAACATCATATGGGAGGAATGGAGGAATAGTAACCAATGCGAATAGCCTAGAAGAGTGAAATGAATTCTAATTGGCCAATTTATCTCCCCTTCGCATGTTCATTTCTATTTCAAGTCGACTAGATCACTTTAGCGGACAAGGGCGGATAAGGTGATGTTGCAAATGGGGGCATTTTAACCAAATAGTTATGCAAATCTGAAGGCAAGGTGGACTGCTCCCACTTAACAAATTGGGAAAAAAGCGTGTATGCAAATTAAGAGTGATTGAGCCGACTATCATTTGGAGCAACTAAACAAAGGAAATCGAACCATATTGATTAACCTAGGATCACCTCGAATAGCATAAATATATTTCAGTACAAAGCATTAAATAATTTATTCACCGAATTACATTATTGCATAGATCCCCAAATGAACAAATCAAACATGATAGACTTACCTCCACGTGGTGCACCCTGGGAAACGTATACTCATACGGCAAAAAAGTCTATTAACCGGCAGTTGACTTCAAACTACCAAGGCCCCACTGGATGACATATTCGACCACTTCCACAGTATTAAATCACAAATTTTCTAAATTTTCAACCTTCGTCTTTGAAACACTCTTCAGCTCCCCTCCTCTCGACTTTTTTTTCGATTTGATGTTCCTTCCCCTCTGTGAAGCCTGAAGTCAACTAAAGGGTTAATGATAATCATCAAAAACGCCTGCCATTTGATATAAATACTTATTCATTTAAAGAAGTTACTCAAATTAGTATTATGTACGTGTGCGATTAGGAAGTCAAGTAAGGAAGCAATGCGCGTTTCTGTATCCAGCTTACGATAATGGACCAGAGACTTGTAGGTATATAATGACAAATTCGTTATCCCATTAACGCCGCTCTAACTCATTACTAGAATGCGTGGTGAACAATTCCCGCATTTGCTGTGTGTGTTTACTACTTTTAAATAAATAAATATATATATATATAATAAAAATTTACCCTTCCGTATTCACATAGGAACTCTTATCTTGGCCACCCAGTAGTTCAAACGGCTTTCCCCATATGACATTTTACAATTGTGCTCTCTGTCTAGTGGTCTAATTGCCTAATTCCCTCCCCAAATAATAAGACAGTATATTTAATTTGACTAGACCTCTTAATAGACACACGAAGAGAGATCCCATAAATGCATCAACTGCCAATTGTCTTTACAGAAAATTGGAATGAGACATTAGTCATAGGACAGAAAGAACGCAAGCACAGTAGTCACATAAAGCTACAGAGCGGAAAATTTCTAGCGAGTTCATCATCAATTGAAGAAAGGCGAAAACTTCCTAGCAAGAAATAGGAAGTTAAAAAGTTCCTACTGACTACAACTCCATGCCATAAGCAAACTACTGACACATCTATAACACACACACACACACTCCTTAAGAGGTAACCAAAAAACAGAGGCTGTAGGATTTACAGAAAATCATGCCGAAAATGTTAACAAACGAAGAGAGCACAAATGCCTGTGAATGCTTATTAGCACAATCTCCGTTCGCCTTAATCTCTTTTCGAAACGCGAAGGCAGATCCCCAGCTTGTCGGTAGAGAGAAGGGGATCATTAATCTTGTGCTTCCCTTGGATTGTCAAAGATAGCAATATCGCGCCATTTTTCTAGCTTCATTTCCTTTCCAATCCGGTTACTGGTATATTTGTGCATAGCTGTGTAGGCATGCCACTTGCGTAAATGCACAGTCAACGCCGCCAATACCAACCGGCACCACAAGCTCTGTGATACCTCTCACTCTCGCCTTCTTCGTTGCTTTTTGACCGAGAGAGAATAGACCATTTTCAGTTGACGTAACAGCAGAATCGGCTTTGTCACAGATCAATAACTAACTCAGGCGCTTTGACTGAACGCACTGAGGTGAGTTTGAACGAATTATTAAAGTAGTGAGGAGACGAGAGAAAAAAGTCCACGGGTATGAAGGTCTTGTTGATAATCAATTATTATTCCAACTTTTCTTCATCAAGAAACTCCTCTGGGCTGGCAAGTTAAATGGAACTGTCGATAAAACTAGTTAATCATTAATAAAAGGCCTTTACCCATTTTCCCATCTTATTGCCACAATTTTTTTCAGTTGCTATAATTAACGAGGTGGATATTTTGCTGTCGCCAACTGAATGTGTAGTTGTCTGTCCAACAACCACCCGCTCATGATACTACTTCACTAGCGCTAAATAGCTATTAAGATTTGTCGTTGCTGTTGTTGCTACAAAAAAGGTGGTGTGTCCGACAGATTGACGTCAGTGTTTGGTGGAAAAGCACGCTTATTTATCTTTTTCCCCATATTGCTTTTGTCCACACTTTTGCCCTCACAGTGCGTGTTAAGTGGTTATTGTTACTCTCTCTCTCGCTCT